GAGGCGGCGGCGGCAGCACTGCGGGGGCTGCGGTCAGCCAGCGCCCAGCCGAGGGGCCGCGTCTCCCGCACTAATTGGGCCTTGCCCAGCCGCCTCGGCCGGTAATTGCTGCTTCGGTGGGTGAAAGGTGGAGGAGTTTGGGGCAGAAGAGGGGGCGCCGCTTCCGGCGTCGGGAGCCAGGCTCCGCACCAGCAGGGCGATGGCGTGGGCGGAGGTCGTGCGGGCGCTGTGCCGGGGCGAGCTTTGCACCCTAACCCTTCGTCCTGGCGGTGGTGCTGGAAAGCCAGGGTAAGGCTCAGTTGGGTGCAACGAGGGGCAAGGAGGAGCGAGGGCGCCACAGAAGTGTCCTGGAGGCTTTCCCCAAGATCCAGTCAGTTCTGAAAATGGCCCCTCACAGGTTAGGCCTGGCAGTGGCTTTAGGAAAGACCCTGGATGGGCCGTGGGGGACCTGAGTGGAGAATTCTAGGTGGACACCGGGCAGTCGGTAGCCCTCATCCAACAGTGCATCCCGAGGAGGAGCTGACAGGAAGAAGGGCACCTCTGGGGTGCATGGAAAGGGTGCAGAGCTGGGACTGGAGGGTACCCAGGCTGTTCACTCTCTAGACCACCCACTGGAGTTCTTCCAGGCTCCAATTCCAAGGGAACATCCTCAGGTTTCCCCAGAGTCCTTTAGGCCTATCACATCTGCCACAGCCAGGCTGGACCCTGCCAGAGCCCTGGCTCTAGCTCAAGTGCACTTCCTATAATTGGGGGGTGCAGGGCCTCTGGGCAGAGGGCTGTTTGGGGAAGCTTCCTTCCCCAGACCTGTTTGAGAGAGGAGGCATGTTAAAGAAGACCCTTGTGAAGCTGGGTAAGGCAGACTATCCAGGGCCCTGGAGTTAGGCACCGGGACCACTGCAGTGGGTGTGGACAAGGAACCTGGTGAGTCTGCAGATGGGCAATTACTAAGCGGAAACCTCAAGGGTAAGGGGAGAGATTCTGGCTAAGCCCATCCCACAGAATTCTTTTTTAAAAAGAATTATTTATTTTATTTTATTTATTAATTTTTATTTTAATTTGACCAGAGTCTCTCTCTCTCTCTCACTCACACACACACACATGCATGCACAGAGGGAGAGAGAGAGAGAGAAAGTGAGAAAGGAAGCCTCCAGATCTGGGACTTGAACTATGGTTAATCAGGCCATGTGGGAGTGTCCAACACCTTAACCACGGCACCACCTACTGGTCCCCCACAGGATTCTTGCTGAAGGAAGGTCAGTGATACAATGACACCTAGGGGATGGTGGAGGCTAAGGAGCCCAATTAAATGTGGTAGGTGATCAGATATTGAGGGTGCTGGTTAAATGACTTAGAAGGATTCTTGCTGAAATTGGACAAGATAGAGACAAACATGTAAGCCTAGCCAGGCCCCATAAAAGAGTTCAGGGGAGGAGGGGCAGAGTTTGGTCAATGAGAGAGTCAGTCAGGGGAGAAATGAGGAAGCCTCAGAATCAGGCCACAGGGTGAATACCCCACGACCTCCAGGTCCGAATGGCCTAGAGGCCCTGGGATGAATTGGACCCAGCCGGACCTCACTTCTCTGGGTTCTGCACGGGCTGCCAAGGACCACCTTCCAGGGGGTGGCACTCCAGACCTTATTTGGGCTCCCGCTGCTGAGTAGCTGTTTGGTTGCCTACCCCGTGGTTACAAGCAGGCAGGGTCATTCTGCTGGCTGTACCTTCCCTGAGAGAAGAGCTGCCACAATAACTCGGGGGGCTCCCTTCCTCGGGAATCGCTCCGAGTCTGCATGGAAGTGGTCTAAATCAAGTTCTCAAACAGCCACCACTAGTGCATGACTTTAGGCAAGGTTTTTATGTCTCTGTACCTCAGTTTCCTCATCTGTGAAATAAGGATAATAATATCTATGTGACAGTGTTGTGGTAAAGATAATTGTTGGCTTGAAAGGTCCTCCCCTGGCCCCCATCCCTTTGCTTTTGGAACTTAGATGCTGGAGTATGGAGGGTTGGGTTTCCTTCATTCCACAGGGCTCTGCAGATTCCAGTTACCCCAGACTCAAGAACCCCTAGGAATAAAGGGCTGAGTGAGCACTGTAGTTGGGACATAAAACCTGTGGGACACTCTACAATGTTTATAGCAACATTATCCATACCAGCCAAAGATGGAAGCCACTCAATGCCCCTCAGTGAATAAATGGGAAGGCAAAATGTGGTCTATACATATGAGAGATTCTTCAAAAATGTCATGGAAAATGTGTATTATTAAAAACTTGTAAGGCCTGCAGGTAGCATGGTAGTTAAGGTGCTGGACTCCCACATGGCTGACCATGGTTCGAGTCCCAGACCTGGTGGCTTGTTTTCTCTTCCCCTATCTGTCTCTCTCTAGTCAAATTAATAATAATAATAGCAACAAATACAATTTAATAAATAATAATAATAATAAAAACCTTGTGGGGCCAGCAGGTAGCATGGTGGTTAAGGTGCTGGACTCACACATGACCAACTGTGGTTCAAGTCCCGGACCTGGTGGCTTGCTTTCTCACTTTCTCTCTCTCTGTCTGTCTCTCTCTGTATCTCTCTAGTGAGCACATGTACTCTACAGTAAATTTTAAAATAATTATAAATTTTTAAAAACTTGTGCATGCATTTTTAAAAAACTTATACCAAAAAAAGAACTTCACTTACATTTTCAGTGAACTTATTTTTCTTGATTGCCAGAGAACACATGTGCTTGCCAGAAACAGAGGGAGAAAGCACCCACCAATGGGATATGGTCACACTGCAATCCTTTCTCCTCTACTTCTCCACCCTGTCAGGATTTGGAGCATATATATACACATGCCCAACATGTTTTTCAAGACACAGGGTGTCCCGACCAGCAGGACAGTTGAATAGGTTTCTTGAGGGAAGGAGTGAGTGTAACACAGGGATGACACAGTGTTACAACTCTTCAGGGTCCTCAGTTTATTGTGGGCCAGGGATCGTGGTTATATACATGTTTGTGGGTGGTGATTGGTTAAATGAAGGATTGTAAAAGGTAGGTTATGATTGGTTGCTTTCGTGGACCAATCATGAGGTGCCGGATATGCAAATCTGAGGGATTCTAAGCTCACCAATGGGTGAGCGCCATGGGAAGTGGCCAATCAGAGTATGCTTTTGAAGGTGAGGTTTTGAAGGGGAGCCAATCATGGCCTTTGTCATTGTGTAATTGTTTGCTCTCTGAGCCTAAGATGGCAATAGTAAGAGACTCATGAAAATGGCCTCGGCAGACTCGCTGGTACGCAGCCTCCCACAACAGGGGCCCAGATTCCAACTGCAGTTGGCCATGTGGGATCTGCCTTCCTATACACAACACTTAACTCCTGAACTCCTTGGCTGGCTCATCCACGAACTTTTTGAAGCACTGGTATATGATGAAATACACACACACACACGCATACACACATATATAGGATTATTTTATTTAATATGTTTTTTAAATTTGACCAGAGAGAGACAGAGAGAGAGATAAAATGAGAAAGCAAGTCACCAGGTCTGGGACTCAAACCATGGTCATCCAGCCCACAGTGGAATCTTATTCAGCCTTAAAAAGAAATGAAGCTCATGGGACCAGCAGATGGCATAGCAGTTATGGTGTTGGACTACCACACGGCCAACCACACTTTGAATTCTGGTGGCTCAAGACTCATGCTTGTATGTGTGCATGCGTGCCCAAGATCCCGATAGGAGAATGGGGAAGGGATTGTGGTAAGGCCTTCTCCTTGGAAGAGGTGATTTCTCACTCTCCTTCTCAGTGTCTGTTTTCCTTTCTCCTGCAAGTGCACACATCCAAAGGCAAAACCTCTACCAAAAAAAAAAAAAAAAAAAGAAAGGAATAAAATTCTATACTTGATCTCAGTCAAAAGGCCAAAAAGTGATAAAAGGAATGAAATTCCGATACATGCTACAACATGGATGAACCCTGGAGACATTAAACTAAGTGAAACAAGCCAGACATAAAGGGATATGATTGCACTCATATGTGGTACTTGGAAGAGTCAAATTCAGAGAGAGAAAATAAAACAGTGGTTATCAGGGGCTTGGGGAGTGTTTAATGGATACAAAGTTTCAATTTGGGGTGCTGAAAAAGTTCTGGAGATGGATAGTGGTGATGGTTACACCACGATGTGAATGCACATAATGCCATTGAACTGGACGCTTAAAAATCATCAAAATGATAAATTTTATGGTATGTATATTTTAATTTTTTAATTGCTGGGGGAGAGAGAGAAAGCACCCCCAAATGAGGTGTGGTCACGCTACAATCCCTTCTCCATTTACCCAATCCATCAGGATTTGGGGCATGCACATACACACACCTGGCATGTTTTTCAAGCCTCCTGGGGCCAGGGCTTGAACCATAGTTCACTGTGTGGGATCCAGCTTCTTTTTACCACAAGGATATGAAGCAGACCCCATTATGTATATTTTACCACCAAAAAGAAAAACACATAAACAGCCAAACAAAAACTGTGGGACAGGCTGGAATGTGCTCTGGTTGGGTTGCAGGAAAGCCAGAGTGTGAGGCATCTGGTTGCAGCATAAAGACCTAAATGGATGGACAGGGGCACGTGAGATGTGGCTATCCTGATGTGGCTATCCTGATGGAGTGCTCTTGAGTCTGTGAAGAAAAAAAGCCTTGTATTCTGCAGCGCAGACGCTTTGCTGCAGCTCCCTTAGACTGCATGTAGCATCGTAGGTACAGCCAAGGTCTCAGAATGAGAAACCTCCCCTCCCACCCAACTCTTTGCAAATGGGGAAATTCAGATCAAGTCAAAATATCTTTATAGAGGAAATCTCCTGGGTGCAGGCTTCGGAAGGGCCCTGGGGGAGATGGATGTGGCTGGGGGAGAAGATCTCAAGCTATTGAAGCTTTGCTCCATGTCAGAATAATCTCCCTAGTGCCTCACAGCCACTGTCAACAGGCATGGGTTTGAACAGCATGGACAGTAAAGGACAAGCTGGTGCAATGATAGGGCAGTGACAACCCAGGTGGACTTCCTGTTAGAAGGGGTTGTAAGTAGGTCTTGGAAAGTGGGAGAGATGCGGTCATCCTGAGGCTGGGGGGAGGGGGGAGCTGGACATAGAGTGGTGGTGAAAGGGCCTGGCCTAACCTAATGAAGATGGTAAAGTAGGGGGGGCACCATGAGATGCCAAGCTAGAGAAGGTGGTACAAGGCTCCAAACATCAGGCTAAGGCCCCAGCTCTGGTCTGGTGGCAGTAGGGAATTCCTGCAGCTCCTAGATTGAGTGGGCAAGATCTTGTCCCTAGATGCCCATGGCCAGTCCTCCAAGGTCTGGGTGGTGGTGGAACAAGCCTTTTGGCTCTGTCCTCCATAGCCACCAGAATTGCCTCCACTTCTTAGCTCTTCAAGACTGGCGCAGTTTCACCCAAAAGTCCATCTTCTCCTCCCTGAGCTTTGTACCCACTCTCGTGGTAAAATCCAGCTGCAGGTACTTTTCATCCTCGTCATAGCGTGGCCAGAAGGGCAGATTCTCACCGTTGGGGTTTCTGCCCAGGAGGGAGAAGAAAGGATTATTCATGTTGCTCTTCATCCTGCCTCATTCTCTCACCCTTCCCTCCATTATCTTCCCCTTGGGAGTGGGAGTCCAACAGGACTTTAAAGAGGAAATATTTAGAAAGGTCTTTAACAAAGAGCAGGAAAGTGGCCAGACAGTGGTACAGTGATAATGCATCTGGACCCAAACAGGGAGGGTCCTGGGTTTGCATCCTGGTACCTCCCTGAACACACGGGGTGTATGCGTGTGCCTATGATCCAGGCCAACTGAGACTGTAGGTGGGCTGTGTTGTAAGGACAGGGGGCCCGTCTCTGTCTCACTCTCCGTTTCTTTCTCTCATTAAATAAATAAACTTAAAATAAAAAAAAAAAGAGTCAGAGGAGCCAGCAGATGGTGTGGAGGTTAAGGGCTGGATCCCACATGGCCAACAACACTGTTTGGGTCCTATACTCAGTGGCTTGAAAAATCATGCCAAGTCCGTGTGTGTGCATGCCCAAAATCCTAAGAGGAGAATGGAGCAGAAGGAATTGTGGTGTGGTCTTCCTCCCTGGGGGGTGATTTCTTACGTTTTTCTCTCTATGTCTCTCTGGTGAGTGCACATGTCCTATTGCAAAACTAAAAAAAAAAAAAAGAAAAGAAAAGAAAAAGAAAGAGTAAGAAAGTGTGTGTGGGGAGGGGAGTGGTTTTCAGATAGAGGGAACAGCATGTGCTAGGTTTAGAGGTATGAAAAACCAGGGCTTTATTTATTTATTTATTTATTTTTTGAGAGTTTTTTGTTATAGGGCACATGTGCTCGCCAGAAAGACAGAGAGAGACAGAAAGACAGAAAGTGAGAAATCACCCCCCCCCCAGGGTGGATGGCCACACCGCAACCCCTTCTCCTCCATTCTCCTCTCGGGATCTTGGGCACGCACACACATGCACCCGGCATGAGTTTAAGCCACTGGGTCTGGGACTCGAACCGCGCTTGACTACATGGGAGTTCAGCAACATAGCCATTACGCTAACTGCTGGTCCCAAAAACCAGGGCTTTTAAAGCAAGCACAACAATAGGGTCAGATAAGAACAGGGCATATGTGAAAGTGATGGATTTAGAAAAGAGATGACATGGAAAGATTTTGAAAGACCTTGATGCTAGGCCAAGTAAGAGGCTGGGACTTTATTGTGAGGGCAGAGGGAGTTTGAAGATGAAGGTTTTTTTTTGGGGGGGAGAGGTTTTTGCTGTAGGACATGTGCACTCACCAGAAAGACAGAGAGAGACAGAAAGATAGAAAGCGAGAAATCACCCCCCAGGGGGGATGGCCACGCCACAATCCCTTCTCCTCCATTCTCCTCTCGGGATCCTGGGCACGCACGCACATGCACCTGACAAGAGTTTAAGCCACCGGGTCCAGGAATTGAACCATAGTCAACTACATGGGAGCCCAGCGACATAGCCATTACGCCAACTGCTGGTCCCAAAGATGAAGCATTTTAAGCAGGTAAGCGATTGGGTCAGATGGTATTTGAGAAAGACCCTCATAAGGAGGATAGATGGAAAGGAGAGAATGCAGAGACAGAAAACAGTCACAAGGTGGCCAAAGCTCAGCTCAGATGATCCTTCCTCCAGGAAGCCTACCCTGCCCACTAGGCTGGCTGAGACACCTCCTCTATGCTCTCCAAGTGCCTTGTTTCCCTGTCCTGCCTCCCGTCAGTACAGCTCTCAAGTGTAATTTTGTGTGTGTTCACTGAGCTGCTGGAGGATGGGGCTTATGTCTGCGACATCCTTGAAACCCAGTTCCCAGTACTAGGGTGGGAACATCGGCAAATGATTGCGGAATGCTTGAGCAAAAGACCAGGGCAGGTCGCAGGACACAGATATTTAGGATCCCATGACTGGCTGGGAAAAGGCGAAGGGGAAGGGACACTCTGGTCAGGCTGACTGTGTGGTCCATGTAGGACATGCAGGGGCAAGTATATGAGCAGCTGCCATCAGGCCTAGTCTGGGCAGGGAGACTGTCCAGACGTGTCAGGGGACTAGACTCACCCTGTGCGGGCAAAGTTGGCCCAGTATCTCATCATCCGGAGGCTGAGTGCCTTCTCCTCGCTTGTGGAAGGGCCTGGGGTAGAACGAGATATGGCATTGGGGACAGGGCCAAATGTGCTGCCGTCACACCTGCACCTGCTCCTTCTGGCATTGCCTCGATGGCAGAAGACTTGTTCAGAAGAGCATCCCAGACTAGGAACTGGCTAGTCCCTGTGACCAGCCAAGGCAGGTCTGCATAAAAGGTGGGGAGAATAGATACCCACTGGGGGTGTCAGGTGGGGTTTTTGCACCTTTGGAGAAGGGGCTCCCGAAGAGGAAGTGGATCTCATCTCCGTGGTCTGCCCCATCAGGGCAGGGTTTGATGATTATACCACTGGGAGCGTGGTGCTCAAACTCGTACAGGTAGACAGGAAGGCCAGCATCTACGATTAGGAAGAATGGAAAAGGTTGGAGGAAAAGTCTGAGCTCAGGCTTTCTATCCACCCCACGCATTTCACCCACCTGTATCCTGCTCCCTCCAGAATCAAGGGAGTGGATTTGAAGCCTATCTGCACTACACTGTAGCTGTGTGACCTTCGGAAAGTCACTTAACCTCTGAGCTGCAACTTCTCATCTGCAGACCAGGGGTGCTAAACCATAAATCAGAGGATTGTGTAAGGATCCTGGAAGCCTCCAGTTTCCTTCTTCAAACCTTCCTTGCTTGGCTTAGCATTTAAGTCTTTAGTGTTGGCCCTCTCAACCCTACCTTTGACCTCTCAGCCACGTTTGCCAAGCTCCAGTCAGCTTAAGCAGGACTTTGACCATGACCCTAAGGTGGTCCTCTTAGCCAGGAAGCCTTCTCTGACCACTTAGGCTCTGTCCTCTGGGCTGGCCGAGGTCCTGCCCTTGACCCTGAGGAGCAGCCTGTCCTCTCTTCTGGTTGACAGCATGTTGTTCTCTGTGATATCTTGAAATCCTACGCCAGCCCAGAAGGGCAGAGAGGCTGAGTGAGCCGCTGGCATGTCCCATGGGTAAGCAGCACAGCTGGAGGTGAACAGTACTGGTGTGGCCACTTGTGGCATGTACCTCGGTGGTAGCGGGCAGTCTGCAGTGTGATGTACACAAAGGTAGCGTCTGCACCGAGGTCCATCACACGGTTTCGTAACATCTTCCAGTCCTGCTCAGTGACGTTGCCCATGTACTCCTCCATCACGAGTGGTAGCTGCTCCTTGGTGATATTCTAAGCAGGAAGGCCACACCCACCCTGAGACTATGGTGCTAGCTGATCTTGAGATGGGCACGCCAGTGACCTGGACCCAGGTTTAGCCCTCCAGGAGTTTCTAGCCTGGGGGAGGGGGAAAGGCGGAGCTTCCTGAGAAGATCTCCCTCTCTGCTGATTCTTTTTTAATTTTTTTCTTGCTTTAGGGCACATGCGCTTGCCGCAGAGAGCTGAACAGACAGAGAGATGGAAAGCAAGAAATCACCCCCAGGGAGGATGGCTGTACTGTAGTTGCCCCCTTCTCCATTCGCCCCTTGGGACTTTGGGCACACACCAAATGTGCCGGGTGCATCTTTCAAGCCACTGGGTCTAGGACTTGAACCATGCAGTTGGTCATGTGGGATCCAGCCTCCCAACCACCATGCCACCTGCTGATTCTGTCTGATGATTCTTACCCCTGTTTTTAGTATATAAGAACCGTCTCCCATTAACCTAAGGATGCCAGGGGGACCTTGCCCATCAGCAGCCATTTAAGCCTATGCCAAACTCCATTTCCTTTAAGGAAGACCCCTTCCCTGACTGGGAGTCCCTTACAAAGAGAAGCTACTGGGTACAAAAGGCGTCAGCTCTGTCCAAACTGAGCACCCCTGACAACAGGGCCCCTCACCAACAGGGTGCTGGTATTCCAGATCAGCTTGGCAATGGTTTCTTTTTTCATCATGTGCTGGTTTAGTGGGAACTTCATAATCTGTTCACAAGACAAAGACCCAGGTGTGGGTTAGGCCTGAGCATTAGGAGGGATTCTGGCCAGAGCTACACCAGGCCCCACAGGTCTTGCCATGCAAATGGCGAGTTCTCAGAGCCCACAACCCAGGAAGGTCCCATGATCCTCTCCCACTTTCCTGCTGCCCTCCTGCCCATCACTACCACCTGTGATGGAGCTGAAGTAGGCTGAAAGGATCCCACCTGAGCTAGGGAATCCACCCTGATTCAGAAGCAAGGGAGGGCCCAGGATTTGTAGCTGCTTCGAAGCTTGGATGTGGATGTTATAATCCACCTGATCTATGATCTGAGGATTTGGGGCCCCCAAACCTCCACAAAACCACACTTTTCTCCTTACCCCTTCTATTATTCCTAGCCAAGTCTTATTGCAGGGGGACTTCAGGAGGCTCCCAAGCACTTGGTCATTCCCAGAGGGTCTAATGGGATCTGGCCTGGTGGCCCAGCACTGCCTCAAGCTCTTCTGCTTCCCCACTGTGGTGAGCACCCCTCCTGCTCACTTACATAAGGCAAGAGCCAACAGAATTCCAGGTTGTTGACACCCAGAAGATAGGGCACAGGTGAAACCTGTCCCTGGGTCAGGAGTGCCAAAGGGTCATCTGGGAACACCACACCATCCACCACGGGGCTTAAGAACCACACAATCTACAAGGCAAGGGGAACTTCTGATCAGTTTTCTCAATATCCTCTCAGGGTCCCCTGTAATCTTTTACACCCAGCTCAGCAGGCCACCCCCTACCCTCGGCTCCAGAGGATGCTCTGGCTGGACTTGTTGACAGGAAAACAGGTGGGGCTGGTCATGTTGACCCCTGAGAGGGTGGGTCAGGATAGGCAGGACCAGGCTACTTAGACCTGAGCGCATGTGCCTATGTGACAAATCCCAACAGGACAGAGAAACCAAGAGATGGGATTGCAGTGTGACTACGTGACATGGGGTGCACTTTCTCCCTCGCCCTCTCTCTTTGTCTCCCTGTCCCTTTCGGATAAGTCATGTGCTCTCTGGCAAAATGAAAATAAGTAAATGAATGAAATTTCACCCTTCTCAGTATGAGAAGAGCCCCTATCTTCTCCATTTGTTGCTGTTCACTTATCATTTTTGAGGGGAAGTGAATCATTTACGTATAGGGTTTACTCGCTTTCCCCACTGGATATCCGTTCCACTAGGGAAGGGATACGTAATTCCTTGAGTATCCTGAGTGCCTGGCACACAGTTGGTGTTCAATAAATACTCGAACTGCAGAAGCAGCCTGCTCACTTCTTGAGGGTCTTCCTGGATGTTCAAATGGAAGAATCTCTATGGAGGAGAGAAGAGGATGAGAGTTAAAGGAATTCTCTCATTTTCTCCTGAGGCAGGGTCCCTGCAATTATCAATAGGCATGGGTGGCTGGATACCAGGATGGGAGGGTGGCCTACAGGCAGCCAGGGCAGGCAGCTGGAACATTCTACCTACCATCTTCTTAGATATGTGCATCAGCTCAGCCGTTGACTGTGCCCTCAGGCAGTCTACCAGGATCTGTGTGCTGCTGTGGCTGCAGCCAGCCAGGCGGGCAATCTTCTGTAGAGCAAAGAAGAGGTACTCAGGTTGTCCCCATCCTACTCCTCCTTGAAGAGCCATGGGGGAGAGAGGCACGTACCTCAGCCACCTTCAGTGGATTGGCAGTGATGAAGACTTTCAATGCTGCGGTGCCACTCTGGGAAATGGCCCGATGGAAGAGGCCCCGGGCTAAGGGTGACATCATCTGTGGGGGTGAAGAGCAAAGCACCCGTGAGCTGCACAAGTAGGGTCACTTGAGGTGTTTTGGGTCTGGCCATGGCTGGGTAGCCTGAGGGAACACAGGGAAGGCAAGTGGCTGGAAGGAAGGGAGTCTGGAGTTTTGGGTTGGAGTCATAAACCTGAAGTTGGCACCTTCCTGCCTCTGGTCTGTGCAATAGGTCCCAGAGGAGATCTGAGACTGTGGGAGGGGGACTGCTGGTATAGGGAAGGGGTGTCTCTCTGCTGTGGGACTGGAAATGGGGGGTATGCTAAAGGGACCCCAGGGTTCCCATTGCCCCAGTTACCTGTGCCAATGGTTCTTAGCCCCTCTCCATTGCCCAAGTTCAAGGAACAACTACATCCTAGGCCCCATCCTCAGTATTCATGTACTCCAAACCTGCTCCAACCAATCCCAACTGGGTGACTTCCCTGACTCTATACTACCCACACAGCCCCAGGACCGTCCCTATCCATTCTGCTCATTCCCACACCCCAGCATCTCCATCCTGGCCAGTTGGCCTCCTACATCACTCTGCACCATCCTCTCCACTCCTTCCTTCCTGTCCCTATTTTAGCACCAGCACCCATTATGCCCTACCCCAACTCCCATCCTCTCAGTTAGTCTCCAAGTCTACTCCTGCTTCTTTCTAACCCAGTTCTACACAGCGGGTCAAGCCATATTTCTACACGCACATCCAATTCTATCACTTCCTGCTTAAAATCTTTTCCTGCATGAACAGATAGCATAATGGTTATGTTGCAGGACTTCCATGTAGTCAACTGCAGTTCAAGTCCTGAACCTGATGGCTTAAAACTTATGCAGGGAACCAGCAGTTAGCGTAATGGCTATGTCGCTGGACTCCCACGTAGTCGACCGTGGTTCGTGTCCCGGACCTGGTGGCTTAAAACTTACGCTGGGCGCGTGTGCGTGCGTGCCCAAGATCCCGAGAGGAGAATGGAGGAGAAGGGATTGTGGCGTGACCATCCCCCCTGGGGGGTGATTTCTCGTTTTCTGTCTCTATGTCTTTCTCTGTCTGTCTGGCGAGTGCACGCGCCCTACAGTGAAAATCTCTCAAAAGAAAAAAAAAACTTTTCTGGGACCAGCAGTTGGCTAATGGCTATATCGCTGGACTCCCAGGTAGTTGGTTGCAGTTCGAGTCCCGGACCCAGTGGCTTAAAAATCTCATGTCAGATGCATGTGTGTGTGTATGTGTGCACGCCCAAAATCCCTAGAGGAGGGAGGAAGAGAAGGGATTGCGGTGTGACCATCCCCCTCTCGGGGTGATTTCTCACTTTCTGTCTCTCTGTCTCTCTGGCGAGCACATGTGCCCTATAGCAAAAATCTCTCTTTCAAAAAAAAACTTTTCTGGGACCAGCAGTTGGCTAATGGCTATATCGCTGGACTCCCAGGTAGTTGGTTGCAGTTCGAGTCCCGGACCCGGTGGCTTAAACTAATGCCAGGCACATGCACATGTTCGTGCGTGCCCAAGATCCCGAGAGAATGGAGGAGAAGGGATTGAAGCGTGGCCATCCCCCCTGGGAGGTGATTTCTTGCTTTCTGTCTCTTTGTCTCTCTCTGTCTTTCTGGTGAGCGGACGCGCCCTATAGCAAAAACCTTTTTTTAAAGAAAGAGTCTTTTCCTATTCTCCAGTACACTTTGGATAAAGTTGCTTAACTTGTGGCCTGTGAGGCCTTATGTGATATCCCTGCTCACTTCCCAGCCATGTGTCCGACATAGGGTGCCTTTACACCACACACTCAAGCACCTCCGGGTCAAGGGTCACCAGGAATGGTGTCTCCAACCCAAGTCTTGACTTTCAGGCACAGTGCGTGGCCTCAGCGCTGCTCAGAGGGCAGATGGTAGGCTTTGCTCCTGAGGGATAGAGCTCTGGGGACGGTGGGAAGGTGGAAGTGCTAGTGATTCGCCTTGGATTTGCTGAATTTCCCAAGCCAAGGCATTGCTGCCCCTGGGGCTCGGGTTTGTCATCAGTTCTATCCCTTAACAGGACAGACGCCTCGTCTGTGAGGGGCAGTATCCTTGGTAGAGGTGAGGACAGGCTGTGGATGTGCAAGTTCATGTACAGGCAAATCTGCACATCCGTCTGTGAAGTGGAGGATACACTGTGGGCCTGCATCATGCTGGATCCGTCCGGGCTTCGCACTCACCAGTCCTGAGATGCACATGGCTCCTGCCGACTGGCCAAACAGAGTCACGCAGTCCGGGTCTCCGCCAAAAGCCCAGATATTCTCTTGCACCCAGCGCAGAGCCGCCACTTGGTCCAGCAGCGCCCAGTTCCCTCGGGCCTGGCTGTCGCCAGTGCTGGGCGCGCGGAGTCCATGGTCAGGGTCTCAGGCCTGGACAGTCGGGGTGCGGAGGGCTCCACCCAGCCCAGCCCCGCCTCACCCCTCTGAGACCTGGTCCCAGGCCACGCCCGGTTCCTTACAGTTAGGACCGCCCCACTAAGACCCCATGGAGCGCCCACCCCTTTCATCAAGCATCAGGCCCCGCCCTGCCACGCCCCCGCCATGCCCCCGCATCCTGCCATATAGACCACGCCCCTCTCCTTCCACCGGGTTTCCACCGCCGGGAGCCGGGGTCCAGAGGACGCTCCTCCCCTGGTCCCCGGCCCCACCCACCTCAGGAAGCCCAGGATGCCAAGCCTGTGCTGCAGAAGCACCAGCACCACTTTCTCGCGGGCCGCCAACTCTGAGCCCTCATAGGTGGAAGCGGAGCCGACGAGGAAGGCCCCTCCCGGGAACCAGACCATCACCTGGGCGAGGAAGGCCGAAGCCTGAGAGGGGCGGCGGGGTGGCAGAATAGGACGGAGGGTAGCTGAGAATGTGCGCAGTACTCACTGGCAGCGGAGGGTCCCCACGCGCGCGCACTGGCGCGTAAATGTTCAGGTACAGACAGTCCTCACTGAAGCGCAGCCACTTGTATTGCTTCCGCGTGCTCAAGTACATGGAGGTCATCTGCCCCCAGGACTCCTGAACGCACCTGCGGGCGTGATGTGAGCTTGGCCAAGGCGGGCAGCAGCGGTGGGCAGAGGCGGTGGGCAAAATGGCTTCATCCCAGAGTCCACCGCGAGGGGACAGAACCCAAAGCAAAATCCAGGTAGTCTGTGTATGTATGAGTGTGTGTGTGTTGTGTGTGTATGTGTGACTGTGCTGGAGAGAGCCGTAAGATCCAAGATCAGCGGGAACCAGCAGTTAGCGTAATGGCTATGTCGCTGGATTCCCACGTAGTTGACCGCGGTTCGTGTCCCGGACCCGGTGGCTTAAAACTCACGCCGGGCGCGTGTGCGTGGTGCCCAAGATCCAGAGAGGAGAATGGAGGAGAAGGGATTGCGGCGTGACCATCCCCCCTGGGGGGTGATTTCTCACTTTCTGTCTCTATGTCTCTCTCTGTCTGTCTGGCGAGCGCACGCGCCCTACAGTGAAAATCTCTCAAAAAAAAAAAAAAAGATCCAAGATCAGCAACTAAGTTGACTTTCCCAGGATCCATCCTTCTGCCTTGCGCCTTGCCCCATAGGTCAGCCTGGGGAGAGATTTCTGCTGGTGTTGGGAACTGGGCCTGTCGATGCTGTCAAGGCCGAAACCTGCTGCTTTGGGCACCACCCACCCTCTCCTCCATCTCCCCCTGCCTCCCAAACAGCTCTGAAATAGTTCTCCTCATCACCAGGACTGCTGCCCTGTTAAGACCATCACCATCTCTAGCCTGCCATCTCTAGCCTGGACTCTGTCCCAGCTTCGTCACACTTTCCTTCTCCAACTTCTCTACATTCTCAGGGAGAGACTGACTGAACACAGACCTAACCGTATCATTCCCCTTCTTAAAACATTCCCAGGCGACCAGCAGATGATGTAATGGTTATGTCGTTGGACTCACACATAGTTGACAGTGGTTCAAGCCCCAGATCCAGTGACTTAAAACTCACACTGGGGGGCCAGCAGTTAGCATAATGGCTATGTCACTTGACTCCCACATAGTCGACCACAGTTCGCATCCCAGACCCGGTGGCTTAAACTCATGCCGGGTGCGCTTGTGTGTGTGCCCAAGATCCCGAGAGGAGAACGCAGGAGAAGGGATTGCGGCATGGCCATCCCCCCTGGGGGGTGATTTCTCGCTTTCTGTCTCTCTGTCTCTCTCTGTCTGTCACCCTGTAGCAAAAACCTCTCCCCCCCAAAAAAAAAAAAAATCACACTGGGTGTGTGTGCATGCATGCCCAAAATCCTGAGAGGAGAGTGGGGGGGAGAGTGTTTTTTCACTTTCTGTTTCTCTCTGTCTCTCTGGTGAGTGCATACGTCCTATAGCAAAAATCTGTCTTAAAAAACAAAAAAAACTTTCCTAGCTGTGCTGGGCTGGTGCTTAAGGCATCTGCGTCCCACATGGCCCTCTGTGCAAGATCCTGCACCTGCAGCTTGAGAAACACATCGGATATGTGTGTGTGTATGTGTGTGTTCAAGATCCCTTTGGGAGGGAGAAATGAAGGAGATGGGATTGTGATGTGACCATGCCCCTGGCGGTGCTTTCTCACTCTCTGTCTCTCTCTGTCTTTCCCTTTGTCTTTTCCCAGTAAGAAAATGCACCCTCTGGCAAATTAAAAAAAAAAAAAGCCAACAGGTGGCAAGGTGGGTCTTACATGACCAGCTGCACAGTTCAAGTCCTGGACCCCATGACTTTGGAAATGCACTGGGCATGTGTGGTTTATGCCCAAAATCTTGCAAGGAGAAATGGAGAACTGATTGCAGCCTAGCTGTCCCCCATGGAGGACACTTTCTGGCGCTCTGTCTGTCTCTGGTGAGTGCGTGCACCCTCTAGCAAATTAAAAAAGAAGAGAAAAAAACATTCCTTATATCCTCTGCCCTCAGGTCCATCCAAACCGACTTAAGTCCTCTTTTCCTTTCAGCCATCTTCTTCCTGGTTGCTCTTTTGCTCGATACACATGGCCCTCCCCTTCCCCCCCACCTCCCACCTCCAAGCCTCTGTGTCTCTGCTAGAGGCCTTCCGATCTACCCAGCAAACTCCTGCTCATGTTTAAAGCCTAGCACAAGTGGTGCTCCCTCTGCTGGGCAATTTCTTCTCTGTGCTCCACCACCCCATCCTTCCTCCACAAGCTCTATTCACTGTTGACTTACATTGGTTGAGTTTTATCAGTTGGTTGTTTTTCTCTCCCAAGTAACCATATGCTCCTCCGGGGCAGGGCTAGAGGTGGAATCATCTAAACCCTGGCACCCAGCCTTGTGCCTTATGCTGTATATATATTCGGGGTACTTATGGGGCGGAAGCTGCCTGGCCACCTCACCTTTTCTCTTTCCTGGCCTAGGGCGGCTATTCCCATCCTAGCTGGAGCTTGATCCATTTAACTAGGTGCAGGAGGCCTTGCCTGCCTCTGCCCTTCCCTCGTTTCTGCCTGTCTCCAGAGCATCACCTGCTCCCTTCCATCAGTCCTTCCCAACAGCACTTCAGCACACCTTGATCCCAACCTATCCCCTCCCACCCACCTTCCCCAGAAGCTGCCCTACCTCTCTTCCTTTTAGACCAACATTTTCAACAAGTGGTCACCAGCAGGCAGCTCATCTCTAACTCTGCAGGTTGTCTTTGGTCTTCCTTGCTTGACTTCTTGGCAGCTGCTAATGTTGGTGTTAGGGTGCTATCTAATGAACCACACGCAGCACCTCACCAGGAAAGCCAGAGCTCCTGTTGCCCGGCACTGGGTGTTACGGTTTGTGGGTTCCTACCCAAACTTAGGTTGAGACTTGGTCCCTATGTGGAAATATTGGGAGTTGGACCATTTAAGAAGCAGAGCCTAGGGGCCAGCAGGTGGCATGGTGATTAAGGCGCTGGAATTCCCACATGGCTGTCTGCGGTTCGAGTCCTGGACCTGGTGACTTGCTCTCTCTCTGTCAAAACTCATGTGAAAATAAATAAATAAATAAATAAATTAATTAATAAACAAATAAATAAATAATTCTTAAAAAAAAAAAAAGGGAAGTGGAACCTAATGGGAGGCACTTGGATCATGGGATTTCCACCCTTGTGGTGGACTAATTCCTTTCTTGCATTTCTGTTAGAAAGTGAGGTTCCTTCTCATTTGGACTCTCTTCACCCTAACTGCTCGTCCTGCTTTTCTGCTATGAGGGAAGCAGCATGTGGCCCTCACAAAAGCCCCGCAGATGTCAGCACCACATTTCTTGGACTTCCCAGCCATGTGACTGTGGGATAAACACACCTCTTTTCTTTATAAATGACCCAGTCTTAGATATTGTGCTATAGCAACACAAAAACAGCTAAGACACTGGGATTATGACCAGCTGAGGTTCTGCGTCCATCCCACCACTGAAGTCACCCTGTCATGGTCTTGTTAAAGCTCTGTGGTTGGGACCAGCATGTGTCATGGTGGTTAAGGCACTGGACACTCCCACATGGCCAACCAGGGTTCAAGTCCTGAATCTGATGGCTTGCTTTCTCACTTCTTCTCTCACTCTCAACCTGTCTCTCTCTGGTCAAATTAAAAAATAAATGAATGAGGGAACCAGCAGTTAGCGTAATGGCTATGTCGCTGGACTCCCATGTAGTCGACCATGGTTCGCATCCCGGACCCAGTGGCTTAAAACTCACGCCGGGGATGTGTGCGTACGTGACCAAGATCCCGAGAGGAGAATGGAGGAGAAGGGATTGCGGCGTGGCCATCCCCCCTGGGGGGTGATTTCTCACTTTCTGTCTCTATGTCTCTGTCTGTCTGGCGAGTCTCTATACAAAAACCCACCCAAAAAAAAAAAAAAAAAAAGAGAATGAATAAATAAATAAAATAAAAATAAATAATTAAAAAAAAAAAGCTCTATGGTTGTCTTTCTGCCCTGTTAGCCCTCAGCACGGCGGATCAAGCTCTCCTTCCTGGACAGCTGACCTCTAGGCTCCTGGAATGTTCCACTTCTCTGATTTTTTGGCCACCTCTTTGGTGTGCCTTCTCCTCACCCAGGTCTAAGTAGAAGAGTGCCCAGGCCTCAACCCTAAGATCTCTTTTCATTCTGACTGTTCTTCCTCCCAAGTTTTTGACACCATTGACGTGCTGGTATATTGACATGCTGGACATCAATGTGCTGATGACCAGTTTGCCTCCAGCACCTTTTATCCAACCACCTGCCCCACATCTCCACGTGGGCCTCCATCACATGTCAAACTTAACATGCACCAAAGTCAGATGTGGGGGCTTGTGCCTCTAATTCCATCTTCATGGGAGGCTGAGGCAGGAGAATTTGAAGCCATTCTGAGCAACATTGTGAGACTCTGTCTTTAAAACTAACAAACAAGGGGGACCAGCAGTTGGCGTAATGACTATGTCGCTGGACTCCCATGTAGCCGACTGCGGTTCACGTCCCGGACCCAGTGGCTTAAAACTCACGCAGGGTGCATGTGCGTGTGTGCCCAAGATCCCAAGAGGAGAATGGAGAAGGGATTGTGGCGTGGCCATCCCCCTTGGGGGGTGATTTCTCGCTTTCTGTCTCTCTGTCTCTCTCTGTCTGGCGAGCACATGAGCCCTATAGCAAAAACCTCTCCAAAACAAAAACAAAAACTAACAAACAAGGTGGCCCTATGGCCCAGTGCTTAAGGGAGCTGAATACCACGTGGCCACCCACAATTCAAATCCCAGCCCCAGTGGCGAGAAACGTGTCAGGTGCATGTACCTGTGCGCCCAGAATCCTGGCAGGATGGAGAAATAAAGGAGGAGGAAGTGGATCATGACTGTGCCCCTTTGAGGGGTGCCTTCTCCCTCTCCTAGCTTTCAGGTAGTCTCTAGCAATTGTATAAATAAATAATGAATACAACATACTAACACAAATAACCAAAACAAAACCAAAACAAACAAAAACCCTTCTGCTTTGCCTCAACCTGCTCCTCCCCCAGCTTTACCCATGTGGTAAGCAGTACCCCTATCCTCTGGCTGCTGGGCCCGAACTGGCCATTATCCTTCATTCCTCTTCTTTGGCTCACACCCAGTCCTCTAGCAAATCATGTCAGCTTTATGTCCGCCATAAATCCGGAGTCTCTCTTCTACCACCTCCGCTGTTCCTGCCGCGGTGGGAGCCGCCACCTCTGCTACAGCATTCTCTCTCCCTG